TTTCTGTCGTTTTTATTGCTGTTATTTTTAAATACATCTATATTGTTTTTTAAAAAAAATAGTTATCAGTTCATTTAGTAATTCAAATTAAACTCAAATCTAAATATTTATATGCAATTAGCTAAAATATTTGATGACATGTTCATATTTTTCAGTTCCTTTTTAAACTAATTTAAGAAAATAGAACGTTATTTGCATGTTTACCAAATGAATCGCTAAAACATGATTCAAACGTCTCTTTCTCATAGATATTTTTGTGTGTGTTAAAGTATTAACCAAAAATAATATTCCTCCTCATACATAAGCTAAAAAACAGTTCAATACTAAATAAAGCCCACAGCTGTCGGTTTTCTCCGTTAACTGTTACCTGGCCTGACGGAGATGCGAGTTCTCCTCAGGCGACGTCATTATCTGCTCTCTCCTCACCAGAGGGAGATCCGACCAATCTGCAGGGCCTGCATCACATCTCACCAGGACAGCAACTGCTGATTGGTTGAAGCTCGACAAGACCCCGCCCACACAGGCCTGAGGGGATGAGATGGGCTTTATAGACACAGCTACTAATCTGCGAGCGATACTCGTGTTACTCCTCCTATCCTGCTTATCTTCACTATGAACCCAACCTCGTGCACATGATGCCATATCAGCTCATGGGTTTGTTTGTCAATCAACATCAGTCATTAATGTGACTGGAAACTTTCCAACACCGTTGAATACAGTACAGTGCACTGAGTTCATAGACAGAGATACTGTCGGTTTATGGCACTGTACAAGCAAGACTTGCTGTGGAGCTCAAGAACATATTTAGTTGAAGTCAGAATCCTGTATATTATCCCAATTTATTTTTAACGGAAAGATTATTTGTTCAACACATTTCTAAACATAATAATTTTAATAAATCATTTCTAACAACTTTTTTCATTTATCTTTGCCATGATGACCGTAAATAATATTTTACTGAATATTTTTCAAGACACTTCTATACACCTTAAAGTGATATTTACCACTTAACTAGGCAGGTTAGGATAAATAGGCAACTCATTGTATAACAGTGATTTATTCTGTTGACTAAATAAATATATATTGCTAAAGGGGGCTAATATTATTTACCTTAATTTTTCCTTGTGTTATCACAAGGTTTTGATATACTTCTAATGTTGACTACTGTATATATTAATATTAATAACATTTTCTGGTCAATAATAAATATATAGCCCCTTTTTTATGTTATTGAAAGGCCCTAATGATTTTAAGGAAATATATGCTGTTTTTTTTTTTTTGTTTTTTAAGCAGAAACTCTGTCTGTATGCATGTAGTATGCATATGTGTGTGTGTGTGTGTGTGTGTGTGTGTGTGTGTGTGTGTGTGTATTTATATCTCATATTATAGACAACTAATCCTGATTATACACATGTATTCCACATACTGTATACTGTCTGGCTAGTGTATTGTTCCCTCTATTTCTATGGTAATAGCGCTAACACCTCCACATTCCTGCCCATTATCACCTGTCCCTTGTGCAGCAAGCAAACAAAGCCCAGAAAGACAAACATGACCAGTATATTTTATAGAAGATAATATACTTTTAGTTCCTTTTAAGATCACTGCCCACTTTCAAAATGTTATAAAAAAAAAAAATTCATATTCCAGAACAACCCTTGTTATTATTTTACAATAAATTTAATTTGAAACTCCAAAAATTGTAACAAAAAAAGCAGTTTGAAGATCATAACAGCATATTCTGTCATCATCGAATTACCTTCAAGTCAGTCCAAACCATTACGTTTGTTTCAGAATACAGAAGTTATTTTAAAGTAAAACCTGAGACGTCTGTGTCTCAGTTATACACATTAACCGAAAAAATCTTTAATGCTTCAAAATGTTTGTGAAGAGATCCAAAAATAATGAATCGAGCTGTTTAATTTTAATAAATTGTATTTTATTCATTAAATAGTTAAATAATAAAAATAAGGAATACATTTTCTCGAGTGTTATCTACTATCTTAAAACAATTACAAAAAAGTGGGGTTTTGCACCATAAAAGAACCATATTTAGTGAACAAGTTCCTATACACTACCTGACAAAAGTCCTTCTGTCGATCCCAGTTGTAAGAGCAACAAATAATAACTTGACTTCTAGTTGATCATTTGGAAAAGTGGCTGATCTTTTCGATGAATCATCTGTTGAACTGCATCCCAATCATCACAAATACTGCAGCAGACCTACTGGTACTTGCATTGACCCAATATTCTCACAGAAATCAGCCAAGTTTGGTGAAGGAAAAATCATGGTTTGGGGTTACATTCTGTATGGGGGCGTGTGAGAGACCTGCAGAGTGGATGACAACATCAACAGCCTGAGGTATCAAGACATTGTGTTGCCCATTACATTACAAACAACGGGAGAGAGCAAATTATTCAGCAGGATAGCGCTTCTAATACTACAGCCTCCAAATCAAAGCTCCTGAAAGCAATGAAGGTCAAGTTTCTCCAGGATTGGCCAGCCCAGTCACCAAACATGAACGTTATTGACCATGTCTGGAGTATATATTCATTCTTTTTCCACGGCACTATGACTTTTTATTCTATACTGTACATTATTTCTTTTAAGTGACAAGAATTTTGTCTAAGCAAAGTCAGACCTTACTGTCATAATTAAATAATTAAAGACCATGCCATGGTCAAGTGTTATTTTGGTAAGCTTAGTTTAGAGGCCTTTGCCTTTCATATAAGCCACTTCTGATACAAAATGATCAACTAGAAGTCAAGTTATTAGTTGTTGTTTTTTTAAACTTGGATAAGCGACAAGACTTTGTCAAGTAGTGTAGTAGTGTACATCTTTTTCCCCATAATAAAAATACCTTTTGCAAAGTGAAAGTGTTTTAAAGTCAAAGTTTCCTGAAATCACTGATGCCAAAAAATATATTTTTTATTTATAAGATTTTGGTAAAACTGTAGACACAAAAATTTAAAAGAATTGTTTTTTTTTTTTTTTTGGTTTCTTTAATTACTTAGTGGTAATACATACGCACACAAAGGAATCACTTACATAATTGTCTTGTTCTTGCTGGGATGAACAAAGTGTTTCAGGACATTCTTTTACGAAATAAACGTGCCTTAAGCAAAACAGCAGCAGCAAAAATGGGATGGCAAGCATAGTGGTGACGATTTAATTTGCACCTTACGTCAAGCGGTTTTGAACTTCATTATTATGGAGGACCAGGAGTGCTGGTTAGAAAAAAAAAAAAAAAAATTAAAAATCAATGTAAGAATTGAATCATTAAATGTGTTTAAATAAAATACATTTTAAAAGAAATATAATACACAAATAAATGGACATTTAAATGTGGCAAATAGAGAGAGAAAAGCATTTGTCAAATGCCTTTTTAAAAAGCTAATTAAATTGTGCATTCAAATGCATTTTAAATGGATTACAAATATACGTTTATTGTTCGATCAATCAGCGTTTTAAAACAAAAAAATTAACATTTAGAAAATTGTCTATTTATACATTTATAAAGTTATTTTTAAATGCATTCATTTGTATTGCTTTATTAAATGCCATTTAAAAACACAATTTAAATAAACACATTTAAATATGTCTATTTATTTGTTCATTAAAACCATGATTTATTTATACACGTTTTAATGCTTCAATTATTACCCTGATAATTTGTTTTCTCATGCTATTTCTAAGTGACACTCCTGGTCCTTCAAAAATTATTAGACATGTTATCGAAAAACAAATCAACACAATATGATTGCAAGATTCATATTAATAAACTGAGTAGTTTTATATATGGATTTAATTTCTTATGTAAGGAAAAAAAAAGACTCTGAACTCTTTATTAAAGAAGTAGAACAACCAAAAATTATACTATGTATTTACATCATTCCAAACTTTTCTGGCTTCCTTTTTTTCTGCAGAACACAAATGTTATAGAAGAATGTTGGTCAACTGATTTGCTTTCCATTTTCTTGAATATGGAGGGGGGGAAAACAGAAAACAATAAAAGCTTGATCTAAAAAAACATATATAATAATAATAATAATAATAATAATAATAATAACAACAATGAAAATAACAACAAAAACAACAACAACAACAACAACAATAATAATAATATATAGCTTTCCAAAAAGAAAGCAAATCAAGTTTGGAATGACAGTGTACGTACAGCAGTGTTTCTCAACCATGTTCCTAGAGGACCACTAGAACTGCATATTTTGGATGTCTCCTTTGTCTGACACACCCATTACAGGTCTTTCAGTTTCTGCTAATGAGATGATCAACTGCATCTGTAGTTGTGAGCAGAGCTGGTTGTCCTCCAGGAGCGTGGTTGAAAAACACTGCTGTACACGAACAATTCATGGGTATGCTATACCTTTAATTGAAGTCAGAGATGAAAATGAATGTACCATTAATGATTCACATTTAAAACCAATATGATGAATTAGACCTATGCAATATAAACCTGTGAAATGTCTTTACTTTTCATAAGCATAAATGGCACTGCAAAAATTACATATACATTGTGTAGATTAATAATTGCTGAGCCGTTTATTAAGCAAACAAAACAAAAGTGGAAAGTCATTGTGAAACCACTTTTAAAACCTATTATTACTATTATTATCATTATTATTATTATCAAAATGTCTGGAATTTAAAGGGATGGTTTACCCAAAAACGAAATGCTTTTTAATGTACTTCCCCTCAGCATTTAAGACGTGACTTTTCCTTCAGTAGAACATTGAAGAAGATGTTTAGCTAGCCAATGGTTACTGTTTGAGAGCCAAAGACACAAAAACAGGCAAAATAAAATGAATACTTATGGCTGCTGCTGATACACTAATGTCTGGAACAGAAACAATCATACTGTCAAAGAGAAGGAACATTATTTATAATATTATGACCTTTAGATCCACCTAAATATAATATTAAGCCACAACTATTCATTTGACTCTGAAATTGCTGGTAGATTATGAATCACCAAAGACCACAATTTTAAGCTAAAAATCTTCTTTCATGTTCTACTTAAGGAAAAAGCCATTTACATCTACTGATTCTAATGACTAATTCTAATTGACTAAATCATTTTTGGGTGAACAATTTCTAAAAAACAAAACAAAAAAAAAAAAACGAACTTTTCATAGCCCGAACAAAATACCCTCTTCATTTTCAGCATGATTAAATTATATACAAGCAGTTCCCAATGAATGTACACTTTGCCAAAATCATTATTTATGAATGACAAAACTCTAAATGTGTAATGGCTTCACATGTACATGTCGTTACACATTCAGACTAGCTGTACAAAAGATCTCAAGTCTGGAGTCTACTTAATTTTCATAAGACAAATGGCTATTTAACAAGGCCAGTGAGAAAACTCACGATCAGCTGAGATTGGATCAAGGCATCAAGTTTACAGTGTATATATTTAATTAAGACCATACTCAAACTATGATCAAATATTTACAAAAAGTAAAACACTTTAACAAAACCCTGAAAGGGGGAAAAACTCAAGTAAGGCCTTTTGAATGTGAACAGATTGTGTTGGTGATGTGGGTCTAGTGTGTTTGTTGGTGTACTGTTGCTGTTCAGTCTGTATGAATGCAGATTGAAAAAGGTTTATAAAGAGTGTCAGGAGCACTTGGACAGAGCAGCTCTATGGTGGGAGTGATGGTGGATCAGTGAGAATAAGGCCGTTCGTCAGGCGATTGAGGAAACAATGTGTAAATGTAGAGAACCTGGAAAAGAGGAAAAAAATGAGAGTTTAAAATAAATGTGCTGTGAATAAAGTTTCTAATATGCAACATTATCACGCTAACTTTATTACTATAACAGCATTATTACTTTTCCTCATAACAACAAGTAGATCTGTGGTGTTTAGAATATTGTCCCAAAGTGTAAGCATTAACATTTTTTTCCTTTAATTTGAAACAACTTGGAAAAACTCCAAACTACATTTATTTATGCCTGTTTTTAATCGAATTTTAATGCCATTTTCAATTTTAGACCAAAAGACAAAAACTGCAGAGAACAAAAGTCTATGCTGCACCACACTAGCTAGCATGGATTCACTTACTCTCCAAGCCATAGTAATTTTGCGTTGTGAAGGAGCTTTCACACAGGATGAAGAAAGAAATGCTCTATGAAACCCATTTGTTTCAATGGCTTACTCCACACAAAGGCGGTCTGCACTGAACAAAGGAGTGGTCCTCAACATTTTAATCACCACAGAACAGTCAAGGATTGTCAATTTTACGGCGTTTGTAGGTTGCTAGGAAACCATCAACCATTTTTTTTTCTCATTGCGACAGCTCTGATACAAGTTTTATTTACGGAACAAAAAAAAATCTGCAGGAAAGGACTGCATTGTTTGGGTGTTTGTCTAAGATAATTAGTCTAACCAAAATGTGTAAATTCCATACAAGCTATAGCTGATCAGTCAGTTCTTGTTACATGACTTTCGGTGCATTTATTCACTGGGCACATCTGGAAGGTGCGAGAGTGTCACGCCACTTGTTTGCGCAAGCCGCACACCTCCATTGGAAACAACATACTTGTGTGAACTCTAGAAAAGATGGAATATGCAAACGGCCACTAAAAGGCTGCCGTCATTTGCGATCTCCAGCAGTTGATCTTCTTGCAAGCCACAAAGTTCTCAATACTCATAACTCAATATCCACTCAGTGGATAGTCTGCTCATGTACGTGTATACATATCCCACAGGTGAGTGGGCTTGACAAACCACTTGTAGGAAACACACTTTCATCTCTCTGACACTTTAACTGATACAGTTTTTGCACATAAGCACCAGACACTTTTCTATAATCACTCCATATCAATATAAAATCGCTTCACACAGGCGAGTGGGGTTGACAAACTACCTGTAAAAGCACTGTTCTCGCTCTAAAAAAAACAAAACTTGTTATATATGATTAATTCGCATTGTTGTCTCAGAAGTCTACCCGAAACCCATTTTACAAGGTGCCTTTGTGAATAAACAATGCCTCCAGAGTTACGGGACAAGACAGCTGCCTATGCTTTCGGATGAGCCTATGAAGTATACTTGTTCCTGCTGCTTGCAGTACCATTACTGCACTGTCATGGCAACACTAGTAAAATAACGCCTCAACTTGTTCACGGTCATTAAAATGTGCCTATTTTATTGGCTTGTGGTTTTTAAAGTAAAAGTAATGTAAAAGTTTTAAATATTTTATGCTAATATTTTATTAAATTTTATGATTTAATAAAATAACATTAATATTGCAATGTATTTTCAGTTTTGGCCCAAGTGCATCCAGAATGTTTGATTTTAGTTTCAGCCCAGAATTTTCATTTCAGTACATCCTCAGTTCACATGAACTTGTTTTAAGTACCAATTTTCCATTAGGATTCTCCACATTATTCTGTTCTCTTGTGCATTTGTCTTTTGTGGATGGTCAGCCTTTTGGAGCATTGAGTTCACAGAAAAATCCCATATTTAAAATGACCAACTTCTTTTTATGTGTGAAAGGGGTGGCCTTCATCTTAATTTGGCCTTCATCTTGAAAAGCTGTTGTCAGACTGTAAGTCACTTCAAAGTAGCTCATCATCTTGGAAAAGTAACTAAAAACTTTGAAATTTAACTGCCAGTTAAAGGGCTTGTTCACCCAAAAAATAAAAAATAATTTACTCCAGCCATACTTTTTCCAAACCAGTTTGATTTTCTTTGTTCTGTTATACACATAAGAAGAAATAACTTGTAACCATTGACTTCCAAACTATTTACAGTAGCATTCTTTAAATATCTTCTTTTGTGTTCAACAGAATACATAAAGGTTTGGTAGAGTAAATAGTAAGTAATCAATTCCTTTGTGTGAATTAACCCTTAAAATAGGGTTGGTAAGATAATTGAGGAAATTACCACTAGATGCTCTAATTTTCTTCTGTGTCCTTTTTATCATATAATACTGTAGCGCATAATAAACCTCAAATAAGACGAAGTACAGACTGCAAAATACTGTAGGCTGTTCTCTAAATGAAATCTTTAAAAGTGCAAAAAAAGTGATTTGTTTGGTGTGTTACCTCGTGTTGTTCAGAAGAGGATGGCCTCACTGCTGGTCTTCACTTCAACATACGAGGTGAAGCGCTTGAGGAATTTGGGATATTCTCTCTTGGCTACGGCTCGCAAGACTGACGCAGGGGCCCAACCACCAGGATTTACTTTAGGATTACAAACCCAGAGTAAATGTCACATTTTATACGATTTATTTAGTAAAGTAAATTTACAGTCTAAACTCTGATGTATTTAGACCAGGGGTGGCCAACCCTGTTCCTGGAGAGCCACCTTCCTGCAGATTTATACCAGAACCAATTAATTAGGACCTGAACACCACGTGATAATTACAGGCAGGTGTGTTTGATATGGGTTGCAACTGAAATCTGTAGGAAGTTGGCTCTTCAGGAACAGGGTTGGCCACCACTGATTTAAACAGTATAAATGTATGATTTTTAGGGACAACTGATATTTCCAACAGTTCCTTCACTCATAAAATGGCTGATGGCTTAACACTTTTCTTTTGTGATATACAAGGGACTTACAAATACAATAAATATATTTACTTAGAGCATATGGGATAAAAAAAAAAAAAAAAAAAACAGTTTATGCTATCATTGCTGAGTTGAGCAGCTTGCATTTACCTTCTTATTGCTTACTAAACCATTTTTGTTATTTTTTTTATTACAAATAACTTGCTTTAATAAATTACCTTAATGAAAATAAAATGAAAATATATTCATCATGAGCTAGTGGCTAAAGCAATATTAGTAATGTTTGTGTAGTTCATGTTAACTGGTCACTTAAAGAAAAATAATTGATCAAAAATTTTAAAATTTAATAAAAAATACTTTCTACATGTTTATTTTGAAAAATATTTACTTTTAACATTATGTATTTAAAATGTTTATTGATAATACTGAATTTACTTCTGCCTAAAAAAAGTATTAATAACTTTGAGGCAGTTGTTATACCCGTAACTGTTATATACTTTATTACATAAACAGCTTAAAAAAGAATCCACTGACACCCAACTTTTGAACATTAGCATATACACTTTTAAGAACCCTGCCGGAAGATTAGTTTCTTTCTGTTTTGTTTTTCTTTTTTTTGTAATTATATGTATTTTGTGTGGTAACCACCATTATCGCACTGCTAGACTCACCATTGGCGACATATGTGATTTTACAGATGATGTTGTCTCTGCTGATCTCTTTGTCTCCCTCTGGTGGGCTGATTAGTGTTTGACAAATCATGGCTACGTTGATTTTGGCACGAATGCATCTAGTAGAAGGCTGGAAAACAGAAAAAAGTAACCTGACGTACAATTTGTGTGTATATGCTTGCAGTAAAAAGGCTATATGACATCAAAAATGGCTTCAAAAGCAGGAACTCACTGGATAACCATCATGATCCACTGAGAAGTTGCAGACCAGCCAGGTGTCTGGATCGTTCTCATTGGTGGACAGAATTTTACGCATAACTGACACATAAAGCACATCTCGTTGGGAAGCAGGCCACACTCTCTGTCAAAGAGCAGAAAAGGAAAAAAAAAGGATATATAAAATTATTTTAGAAAAAAGCACACAATAAGCAACATGTTAGGGTACTCAGATCAGGCCAATTACTGGAAACATTATTTACAGCACTGCTCCAAAACATGCTTTTCTGACTGGACCATCATGCACTATTATGACACTAAAAATGATCCAAAATGCTTCAGCTTATCTGGTCTTCAATCAGTCCCTCCAGGACATTGTAAGACTTTGTTCTGAATTTTGCAGCCTAAAATAACTGATTTTGCTGTGGCTTTATTTAAAAATTTCGGCAATACTTAAGGCATTATTTTGTGTTGATTTGTTGTAAAAAAAATATCAGAGACAAAAGTCTTTATTGTATATATTTCTATTACTCCTTCACCCAGACATTGGGTTCTGTAACTTATAAAAAAAAAAAAAAAAAAAATCACACTTAAATTTAAATTGTTGTTGTTTTTACAGACAGTTAAAGTCAAAATTATAAGCAAAATTGTTGGGGTATTCAGGAGGGCTAATAATTCTTAATTAATATTTAAATTAAAATACAAATACATAAATCTGAGCAACAGCCATGAGTCAGTTGTGAAGACAGTCCTTGCTGCAGCCCGCAGCTTAATAATGTACTGGACAAGGTTCCCCATGTAATGGACGATCGCCTACACCTCCTCTACCCTAAAACCAACAGTCACAGTAGTATGGGTGCTACCTTAGAGGGTGGTACAATGTCTACTATGAATTGGTACAGGTCCAGTACGTCATCAGGGCTACAGACTGCACCGAATTATCTTGTTTGCTTTGGGTGAATCAGTGTCATGATGACGCCATAGTGTATTACAGATACATGAGACATACTCAAAATTTTGGGGAGTTTTCTTGATTTTGCAATAAATTCAACAAATCACAATAAATAAATAAATAAAATACTTTGCCAAATCCTAGAGGGACTATTTAATAAACCCAAGAACGCCCGCATAAAACGTCTCTTTATTTCCTTGTATTGGCTACCAGTTGAAGCTCACATCAAACTCAAATTATTGATGCTTCCATACAGAACAGCCTCAGGCTCCAAACTGTCACAGGCTAGAAGCTACAGATCTATTCCCTTTCAGAAGCCTGCAGTTGATCAGTGAGTGATGAATTGTGTTACCATCACAGAGACTCTAAAACACATTCCAGAACCTTTTATTTTACTGTTCCTGACTGGTGGAACAATTTTTCCAGTTACAGACAGTCTGCAAAATCACTGTTAACATTCAAATGGCAACTAAAAACTTCTTTCTTCAATGAGAACCATGATCTTATAATAAAAACATATCTGTAAATAAATAAATAAAAAAAATAGTAAAATAAAAACAAATAAATATTGTGAATCGCTTGGATAAAAAAGCAATGACTAAATGCTAAATGACTGAGTGTGGAACAGCAGTTTTTCCTGATATAAATACTTTTATTCAGCAAGGATACATTAAATTGATCAGAAGTGACTTGATTAAGACTTGACTGTAGACTTGATTAATGCTGAAAATCGCCTTAAAATTTGGATGAATTATAACTGTTAAATCTATTTAAATTAAAAAACATAATTTAATTAATTTAGTCCACACAAAATTATATTTTAATTAAATTATAATACTGAATGAACATTGCATCACAAACCTTTACACTTTATAAAGAATGAAATGCTGAGAGTTAATTAAATTAAAAATTAATTGCATAAACTGCTGTTTTTGTTTTAAAGTTTACTTTTTATTAAAAGTATTTTTAACATTTGTTTCTCTAGTGTGTTGCCATGTACCATGATGTTTTTTTGTGTATTCTACCTTACATAAACTTCTACAGCATGGAAATTGGGTTGTTGGTCTTTACAAGTGAAATCTGGCAAGACTCAGAAGACACTTAAGAAAGACTGTTCAATGGTTGCTAAAAAAAAGAGCTTCTGTTGAAGCAAATAGTTTTTTTTAATAAAGGTGTATGACTTGTACCTATGTACTATGTAAATAGCATTACTAATATTCTACCTGAACCAGACAGAAAATGAGACAGAATGATGATTTGACAGCACATGCTTGCCTTTTACCATTATCAGAATGATTTTAGTTCTGTCAGATCAGAAAATTAAAAGAAAGTAGATTTAATATTTATAAGCGACTACTGTAGATTTCGATTAATAATCAATTGGAGCATCCATATAGTGTATAGTAAAATATTATACCTTCAGTGTTTGGTGAATGATGCACGCTTGATCTGAGAGCGTCTCAACCACTTGAAAGCTTTCAACAGTAGCTATAAAAAAGGAATATAGTGAATATTTTTTACATATTTTGACATGATATAAAAAATCGTGCATGTGTATATTTAATTACATAAAGATCTTATACAGATCATCAAAAAAAACTAAAAACTTTGAGATGAACATACTCTCCCAATCATTCCGATAAGCGGTGTCCCAAAAGTAGTGGCAGACCTCATGACCTGTGACTCCTTTGACAGCATGAGTGGCTTTAAGAGGATCCAGAACAATGCCGTTCTCCTCCACCTCTCTCCTGTACACCTGCAAAAACAAATGTTTCTTAGTATTAACAATGGCCAAACAGCAAACAGACCAACATATTCTTGAACAACAGCAGCCTCTAGTGGAAAAAAGAACGACTCGACTATGAAGACTAGTTATTACTAGTTAGTTAATAGTCCTGCTGTGAAATGTAATTCTTTTTCAAGCATTTCCCAGTGAAGTTTAACAGAGATTTTTTCCTAAATACACTTTAAACAATTGTTTTAATTAATTTCTAATTTTAACCAATTTCTTTTGTCTTAGGCATGATGATGGCATATATTATTTTACTAGTTATTTTGCAAGATACAAGCATTCAGCCTAAAGTGCAATTTAAAGGCTCAACTAATTATATTAACTAGGTAAGCTAGGTTAATTAGTACACACACACACACACACACACACACACACACACACACACACACACACACACACACACACACACACACACACACACACACACACACACACACACAGGCCACTTTATTAGGTACACCTGTCCAACTGCTCGTTAACACAAATTTTTAATCAACCAATCACATGCCAGCAACTCAATGCATTTAGGCATGTAGACATGGTCAAGATGATCAGCTGCAGTTCATGCAGAGCATCAGAATGGGGATGAAAGGTGATTTAAGTGACTCTGAAAGTGGCATGGCTGTTGGTGCCAGATGGGCTCGTCTGAGTACTTCAGAAACGGCTGATCTACTGGGATTCTAATGGACAACCATCTCTATGGTTTACAGAAAGTGGTCCGAAAAAGAAAAAAGATTTCCAGTGAGCGGCAGTTCTGTGGGCGCAAATGCCTTGTTGAAGCCAGAGGTCAGAGGAGAATGGCCAGACTGGTTCCAGCTGATAGAAAGGGAACAGAAACTCAAATAACCACTTGTTACAACCGAGATCTGCAGAAGAGCATGTCTGAACACACAACACGTCCAAACTTGATGCGGATGGCTTACAGCAGCAGAAGACCACACCAGGTGCCACTTCTGTCAGCTAAGAACAGGAAACTGAGACTACAATTTGCACAGGCTCATCCAAATTGGACAGTAGAAGATCGGAAAAGCTCTGATGAGCCTGGTCTGCTGCAGCATTCTGATGGTATTCTGATGGCTACATCCAGCAGGATATTGTGCCATGTCATAAAGTGCAAATCATCTCAGACTGGTTTCTTAAACATGACAATGAGTTCACTGTACTCAAATGGCCTCCACAGTCACTAGATCTCAATACAATAGAGCTCCTTTGGAATGTGGTGGAACAAGACAGCTGACAAATCTGCAGCAACTGTGATCATGTCAATATGGACCAAAATCTCAACTAATACTTCCAGTTACTTGTTGAATCTATGGGGTCCAACCCGGTTCTAGTAAGGTGTACCTAATAAAGTGGCAAGTGGATGCCATGTTTTTAAACATTTTTTAGACAATGTTTGATGGATTGACTCTTATGTTTAAATCACAGCAAATGAAAACAATTGTTATTTTAATGAATGCTGTTTTCTATTCTAAGATATAACACAACGGCTTCAGAAGTCACCTTTAAAGGTCAATAAACCTCTCACCTTCATATCTCCTTCTTCAACAACCAGTTGCCAGTTAGCATCTCCACCAACATCCTGTAAAGAATACGTCATGTGACTGTGCACCATCTCCTCAACCTGTGAACAAAACCACCGAGAGGTCACTAAATGTATACAAGACAACTAAAGCATTATTTCAAGTCAAGTTCACCAACTCTCTCTACCTGAGCACTGAACCTGTGCACGTCATCTGAGGCACTTATGAGGTCGACGGAGGACAAGGAGGACGTGTGACTGTGAGGCTGAACCCAAGAGACAGAAAGCCAGAGAGAAAGAGCTCAATGAAATGAGACGGAAATTAAAATCTGATCATCACCCAGAGAATACAGAGCAGACTGCCACTGTAAAGCACATTTCAGAGAGAGGAACTGGAACAAAGGCAATTTTACAAATGTAAAAAAACAAAAGCTCCAAAGATTTGACAGAGCGCATCCACCATCAGCGATGAGACAAATTGCATAATCAGTCACGAAGAAGCCAATGTGCTTTGACAGAGCAAGTGTGTAGGAGTGTGCGTGTGTGCGTGGGGGAGTCAGTTAAAGTGGGCTGGCTTACCTTTGTCAAGTATTTCTGAGTGCTGATGGAGGAAAAGGTGTCTGGAGTGAGCGAGATCTGTCGAGATGCCCTGCTCCTTTCCACCTGGGACTGCAAAACATGACAGCAGGATTTATAAAAGGATGCTTTCACATTTGGTTCAGTTGCATGGTTTGCACCAGAGTTCGATTGAACACTGTCCACCGATGTGTTCACACAGTGGTTTTCATTTCTGAAACCAGGTACTAGGGCTGCAAAAATCTGTCAATTAACCCATTTCTGGCAGACTCTATCTATCTATCGATCGATCGATAGATCTAGATTAAAACAGTTTGAAGATAGATAGATAGATAGATAGATAGATAGATAGATAGATAGATAGATAGATAGATAGATAGATAGATAGATAGATAGATAGATAGATAGATAGATAGATAGATAGATAGATAGATAGATAGATAGATACACATACAGGGGTGTAGCGGACATTTTAAAGCTGTGTGTGTGTGTGTGTGTGTGTGTGTGGTTGGGGGGCTGTTTGAGATCCAAAAGTTTACATGCATATAATTATTAATCACCTGCTTCTAAATGTAAGGGGGGCGTATCACTCCTTGCCCCGGTTGCTACGCCCCTGTATGTACAGTTGAAATCAAAATTATTAGCCCCCCCCTTTGATTTTTTTTCTTTTTTAAATATTTCCCAAATGATGTTTAACAGAGCAAGGAAATTTTCACAGTATGTCTGATGATATTTTTTTCTTCTGGAGAAAGTCTTATTTGGTTTATTTCGACTAAAATAAAAAGTTTTAAATTTTTTCTTTGCCCCATTAAGCTATTTTCTTTCGAAAGTCTACATAACAAACCCTCTTTATACAATAACTTGCCTAATTACCCTAACCTGCCCAGTTAAGCCTTTAAATGTCACTGTAAGCTGTATAGAAGTATCTTGAAAAATATCTAGTCAAATATTATTTACTGTCATCATGGCAAAGATAAAAAAATCAGTTATTAGAAATGAGTTGTTAAAACTATTATGTTTAGAAATGTGTTGAACAAAATCTTCTCTCCGTTAAACAGAAATTAGATAAAAAAATAAACAGGGGGGCTAATAATTCTGACTTCAACTGTATATGTATGTACTTATTTCTCATGTACCAGACTGCCAGTACATAAAACAAATGCCTTTGCAGTAAGACTGGTTTGCAAAATGATTCATTCTACTGGAATAATAAAGCCTGAATTATTACTTGCTCTTCGATTTGGTCATGCTTATCCAACGCAGCTTCCACAGCATCAAAGAACTCCTCTTCGTTGATCAGACTGTTTGGTCCTTCCTGCACAGACACATTTATTAGGCATCAGAGAGAAAATGTCAGGGTGTGTGTTTAAAAGGACGGTGTAGATATAAAGGTTGTGAACGTACTTCATAGTCTGGTCCTCCATAATGAGGCTTTTTCTTCAGCTCTGTCAGTGCTGCTTTGTAAGCATCTTCAGCTCGTCTTCGTCTTTCAATTTCCTTTCGAAGAAAACAAAAATTCCACATTACTGCATACAGCAAACAACTCGAAGAACTCCAAAAGATCTTCAGGGGAAAACAGGGTGGAAGGTTTTGGGGACATAGTAACACACACACACATACATAAATATACACACAAATAGAGGGATGGATGGATGTAGACCAAGTGCAAACCAACAGTGGTTTGACAATACAAGTTTTCAAAGCAAGTAATGAATGTTTTGACTGAAATTTTTGATTAAAAAACTAAAGAAAACACCCATGAATAGGAAAGAAACTAAAGTGGAAATAGGATAATAACGGGATGATAGGTTCAATATTTTACTCAAATCTCAAGTAAGATAGACGATTTGTTTGGATGTAAAACAAAAAAAAAAAAGCATTTTATGTTATTGAAGGCATGTAATTGTGTCTGTAGTTAACTTTTTTTTTTTTTTTTTTTTAGAGTTTTTGATTGAATTTATATTCCAAAATTGCATTTTTACATTTTATACCACCCACACAGTACCTAATGATTTCTAAACCAAAACAAAAAATACTAAAGGGTTCAGCAACAAATAAAAATAAATAAATAAAAAAAAAAAAAAAAAAATCACATACATTTAATTAAATAAGAAATAAAGAAATTCAAATAATAAAGATAGACACAAAATACATACATGCATACCAAACAGAATAAAAATGCATTAATTTGTAGCCTAGCAACATGTAAGGTGACAGTGCTGGAAAATTTCAAGTCCTGACGTGCCAACCTTTCCCAACCCCCTTCCCCTCTCCATTTCCAACTATGCTTCAGATCCTCATACAGTCCTGTCACAGTAAAGGCAAAAATGCCCAAAAATACAAATCTGGTGCGAGGGGTAATCTCTGTACAAAATGCAATCGCTGCTGCACACGAGAACAAAAACTGTCTACATGTGGCACCCAAGCATGCAAGCTATCCATATAAACACCCAGATATTTATAAGAGCACACTTGTTTAATGGGCTCTGCGTCAATAAACACAGGTAAATGATTCCCAATTGACTTTGGATCAAAAATTATTTCCTCAGTTTTGTTGATTTTAATAAAATGGTAGTTTAAAGTGCACCCTTTAGCAAACCTTTCAACCTCTAAATGGTAAACTGAGGGGTTACTGTGTTCATACAAATGGCTAAGTACAGCTGTGTCATCTGAGTATTTTACTACAAGGTTACTGGAATTATGACTTTGTAAACATTACATTACTGTACAATACAGTAGCGCAATAGGTAGTGCTGTCGCCTTACAGCAAGAAGGTTATGGTTCGAGCTTCGGCAGGGTTAGTTGGCATTTCTGCGTGGTGTTTGCATGTTCTCCCAGTATTCGTGTGTGTTTCCTCCAGGTGCACCGGTTTCCCCCACAAGTCCAAAGACATGCGGTACAGGTGAATTGCTAAAGCTAAAATTGTTCGTAGTTATGTGTGTGAATGAGAGTGTATGGGTGTTTTCCAGTGATGGGTTGCGGCTGGAAGGGCATCCGCTGCCTAAAAACATATGCTGGATAAGTTGGCGGTTTATTCCGCTGTGGCGACCCCAGATTAATAAAGGGACTAAACCGAAAAGTAAATTAATGAATAAATAAACATTGTAAACAAAATTAGGGAGCTAACAGAGCCTTGGGGAACACCTGTGCTTGTCCTTCTGATCTCTGATGAGCTGTTATCAACCCTGTCCTGCTGCTTTTGATTAGTTGCTAATAAATATATTATTATATGAATTATGCTAATAAATGTTTTCTTCAATCAATGCTGAAAACAACTAAGCTGCTTCAGCTTACTATGGTAGCTGATTTACTATGGTAGCCATTTTACAGCAGTTATTTAAAATAGAAATCTTTTGAAATGGTACAGTTTTGATCCATAAAAGTGCTTATTTAAAAAAAAAAAACAAGACTGCATGCATTACTGACTTCATTCATTCATTCATTCATTCATTCATTCATTCATTCATTCATTCCACTCCCCTCATCACTCGACCTCAGGAACTTAAACTAAGCTTCAAGTTTGCTTACAAACAAAATCAAACAAATGTCAGTTCAGGATCTAAACTGAGAATCCACAGCAGAACAATGACATGAGGCAGGACCTCTGCCAGCCTCACACTTCAGTGAAAGCAAACACACCCGCTTCAACTGTCTCTCCAGCTACAGATGCCACCAAAGATACCATTGTGTCTTGCATCTTTGAAAGCCCATTCATTAAATAAAGGGTGGAACCAATTTCATCCATACTGAAAACTAGCTTGAATAGCCAACAGAAAGCCAGCATTCAACTCAGCAAATAAGTCAAATGCTGTGTCAACAAAACATCAGGTACAGCGTTAAACCTTCACTTGAGAAGCTTTGGGTGTTGTACACAAGACATTTAAGGAGTAATTCAGTTTAATGCATAATAAATTAGATTACTTCTGAAACTGTGAGGTGTGGTTAAGGCAGAATCACTAAAACACCCTTACCTGTTTTTAAAGTGTCACAAGACAACACCCGACAACTATCAAAAGGTGGAAACGTGACTCAACTAAACGACATAATCAAACAACAACACCAGAAAATACACAGAGGAAACACAAACAACTCAAATATATTCAGTCTAAAAACACATTCATTCAGACATTTCAAACTGAAGGCAAACAACTGGTCAACTGAAGCATGTCAAACCTACAGTGAAGAAGCTGCTCTGAGTACACAGAGGAATCCAGTTTTCATTAGCACTCCGTAGAGACCCAGATACCCAGTTCACTACGGAAGCACTGCACACCGTAGTCATCCTCTACAATACAAATCACAGTCCTCAAATTAGGAATTCTTGGGAGTTTCACCAAAAGCTTCATTCAGTGCAAAGGTCCATCTTTTCTGACAGTGAAAAATCACACCCGCCTAGTCCCTGAGGCGGCTGGAATTCATGAAGCTGCTTCCTGGCTCGGGATATATTCCGGGGGCTGGACTGTAGATGGAAAAAAACTGGTCTGGCAAGTGGCAGCAGAAGATTTACACTGAAACGCTAATGGCGTGTTGTTTGAAGACGTGCTCCCACATAGAGTGGACATGAATGAGAGGAATGCAAAGCTTCCGGAGACTGGATGCACTTTTGTTTTAATGAATGTGCATTTGTGACTCATCCAGAAATTAAGGTGTTATGTGGGAAGTGTATGGGAATTTAAATAGCAGCCAGACAAAGCTGTAAGATGCTGAAATGTGTTATCTAATCAAAACACCTGGGGGATTCAGCACTGTGGAAAAAGCATTAGCTATTATGAAAATGAGAAATTATTAATATTTCCTATAAAACTGAAACTGTTTTTTATTGTAGACTTGTACAATTTTACAGTGAAAAGGGGAAGATATTTCGAAGAATGTCCAAAATGGAACAAAATGAAAATTTATTCTTGGCTTTCTAAAATATATAGATGAATAATATAACTGCGAAGTTACACAGGAGAAAAATATATATCAAACACATTAAACAGAACAATTAGGCAATTTGTTAGCAGAGCAGGTGTCTATTAGAACTTCTTAAGGGGAAAACTGCATTAAAAGTGCTAATCTCGACATTCCAAGGTATGTTATTCCTAGATAACAACAATAATGCAGGCTTATCTTGGCAATTCACTGACCATATTCATATATGCTGTTGTTGACTGTTTGGTGCCATCTTGTGACTGAATACTTATTTTGCAGTTTTGGTTTGTCAGTTTTAAATTACCTTAAAGTACATAAGAGTGTTTTGTGTCTAATGGTTTAGTTTTGTGGGAAGCAGCCATGTAATAAGGGGTACAATGTACATCTAGCGGAATAAAGCCCTTCAATAAAAAAAAAAAAAAAACGGCAGTCCACTTTGGATCAGGAACAACCATCTAGATGTACATTATCCTTTACTTACAAGTTATTTTGAAGCTCTTATTATAAAACATGATTCATTCATGTTGTCACAATGCTGGAATTCGATACCAATCGGTAATTTGGACACTGAAATATTGGACACTGCAGCGTTTTAAAGCTGCGAAGATCAGCTGGTCTGCTTATCAGCTGACAAACCAGTGATCCGCTGATAAATCGACTAATTTTCACAGCTTTAGTGTCCCTGTATCTGTGGTTACACTCAGTAAAAGGTGGTGAGTTTGGTGAACTGATTACCTTCACAGCCAATCACAGTAATTTCTGTTGAACATGAGAACACAATGGCAAATCAGCACTATTTAAGAAAGTGCTCAATAGCACTTAAATGTTAGTGGGAAACTGAATTTTTACAAATTCTATTACCGATTGCTATCGATTTTCATTATCGTGACAACAATATTTTACATGTGTTTCTACCCAAGTATTAACCTTTCGCTAAGCCCCACCCTCCTTAGTTACAGTTGCTACGCCTGTCAAGCTTTCGTACCTGGCACATCTATTACAGTGTGTATGCGCTGGTGTCAGACATTGCCAGGGACATAATGTCATTTTTTGCAAACATGTGAGATATCTGAGAAAGCCAGACAAATAAGGACTGCAGAATACATTACAGGGGTATATTCACAACATAATAGTAACCGATATGAAAATAATTTAATCAAGATTGAAACTAGGTTAGCCTAGCCGCCTCATATGCTGACCATTCAACAGCTTATGTCATGCACAGTAGATGAGGTGAAATTTAAAAATAATAAAATAACATAATAATTTAATAATAACTAATTTAACCTCAAATCTTTTTAGCCAAAAAGCCTGATAGACTATTGTTGTGCAATGAAATATAAAGTTACTAACAGACGAGGAAACACGCACGCACAGTGCTTTTACATAATTCACAGAAAGGGAATGCTGATGGATTTGTGCCGAATATTAGCTTTATTGATTTACCCATAACAGTGTACAGTAACTATGACGTTAACTGTCAGTATGTTTGTGTGCTCTTTATCCAGCTTCTATTCTAAATGGCAGTTAAGCGGAAGAAATAAATACATTGAAATCCAAGTCAACGTATAAATAGCAGAAGTGGACAAATAGATTTCCCAACCAGAAAAGATTAGTATATATAATGAGTATACTGATCGCAAGTGCTCAGTTTGTGATCACATCTCTGTTTTGTTCTGTTGATATGTAATTTCAAATATACGTAGCTTTAAATATGACTGTTATTAGTATGACTACTATGGCATGGGCTTAAACCGAGCAGTGCTCATGATATCGAGCGGAAAAAAAGAAAAAGACACCTGGGAAATATAACCTGCCTTGTATTTTAGTAGGAAACACAGTTTAGATATTTTTAGGGTAAGAGGTGAGTTACTGCGGTCAGTCTATCACTATATGTGAATATCGAAAACAAACCTCTCACATAGCTTGATCCACGCTGGCATTTTTTTCTCTTGGGTTTTAGGTTTTGTCAAGGGAATAAATTCCACCACCCCGTCCAAACTTTAAGGATACCAGGTATCAGATTTACACAATCCATATGCACAACGCTTTCGCCTGTTTCCCTTGCTCGACAGAGCCCCTGAGCGTAGCTACGGTTACGAAGCCTCAATTTGTTGGGTGGCGGTTTTTGGGTGTGGCTTAGTGAAGGTCAATTGTTTGTTTTTTTACATTAAAGCAATTTACAAACATATAAACATTCCAAGACACTAATAGTAGCTTACATAATTAAATAAATAACATTAGTAATAGATAAAAAATTACATAAGTAAATCTCACATACATTTTTCAAGAATACAGCTGGGAATAAGTGAAGGTTTCTTACTGATCAGTTCATTTTCAATTTGTGCAAATACAAAGAAACAGGTGGTCATCTTTGTATAAAAATGTCCAGTTTCAATTGAAGTTGGGCAGTCATATATTTTTTTGCACTTAATAAAAGTATAGGTAGTTTATATCTCTGTTTTTACATCCTGGAGTCTCCCGGATTTTTTTCATAAAAGGAAAGGAAGTAAAAGGCAGATCTTTATGTAAAAAATTTTTTTACCTCAGCCCTTGCCGAAATGTAGATATCTTCAGACACTCTCAAATTGTCTGTGTGTGTGTGTGTGTGTGTGAGTGATTTCCTACATTCCCACACCTTATCAAACGATTACATATTGAAATAAATGTTATAAACATCATTTTCACCAAATTTAGAGAATTCATAAAAACTTGACATCCCCAATTTGATTTTGATGATAATTATGTATCCCTGTTTAATAGAACTATAAATTACTTTTTAAATTTTATTAAAAATACATCTTACTGACCCCAAACTGTCAAAAATGTCCTTTTTTGTATTCTAGTTAGACAAATTCATGCAGGTTTGCAAAATTAATGATAACAGAAAGTTTATTTTTAGACAAAACATCCTTTTAAATGTCTGCTGCACACTACCTTATCGAGTCGTTTCTGCCAGCTCTCCTCTCGTTTGACTAAAATGTCGATGCAGTGGGACAGTGTAGACAGGATTCCTGCCGTTGTGGCTTTAAATGTGATGGCTTCACCCTTGAAATCAATGCCTGCAGGATCTTTGAGGGTGTTCACAAAGAACGCTGAGGGGAAATCAAGTAAAATAAGCATCAAATAAGTGTTTTGATAAAAGACACTAATGCAGATTTAATTAGTGATCAGTCTAGATAGAAATCTTTTCAGTCTCAGAATGAAAGAAGCTATTTCCCAACAACAGTCATAGACATCATGGAAGATTTCCACCATTAAAGGAGTAAAAAGCACTTAGCCTTTAAACAGATAAACTTATGTAACCATTTGCGGCTTATAGCATTGTGCGAACATTCACTTATACAACAGATGTAAAAGGATCAAAGGGTATATATAAAGTGTAATCACATGACAAAAAGAAAGTCTACTTTGCCAAGTAATCAAACTGCATTCAGACAGGACCACAAGCATTCAAGCATTTAGATGAATTATGCAGAAATAGATGTGCTTTGTGTTTACAATAAGCTTTCAAAAAAACAAAAATCTTACATTTCTCTTTGCTGCTGTTGTTATTGTTGAGCAGATAATCAGCATCTGGTCGCAAAGTTGGAAAATCTTCTTCTTCATCAGATACTGCCCACCGAAACATAAATAAATAAAGTTGAATCAACTGAACAAACATTCAAGCAGTTTTAACCTGTACCAATTCATTAAAAGGCAAAGTTCACTCAAATGTAAGATTATTTTTATACAAATCCTCACATTGTTAAAAACCCAAAAGACCTTTATTTACCTCTAACAACAATATTTATGAAGGTATCATGAACTGCGAAATCTTCTGTTGTGGGATGGGCCACTTTGTTATCCAATAACATGTCTAAACCCCACTTCCAGGTAACATCTATCCGCTTGTTAAGTTGTAACCTATGAAATACTGTTTCTGGGTCCAAGCCACTACTCATTTGAATTGAGAAAATATTTGTTTATGATGACCTTTTACTCCTGTCACACATTAAAGTGAATTTTATATAAAATCATAATGTACACAACAGTCTCTGGATGTGCTGCATCACAGACACCAGTATTTTAACAATATAAAAAAATCACTTTCTGGCCATCGGATATCAGGATATATATATATTTATTATATTTGAATATAATAAATATTCATATTGTGATCGTGATTTTTGAAAAGTATTACTGTACATAGCTTTGTAACCATTGTACTATTTAATGAGCCACTCATTTAGTTTGAAATGGCCCTAGATTTAGTTTGATATTGAAGCGGATTTTATGTTCTTTAAAGTGTGAAGTTAATCTATATATTCAAATTGTATGTGTATAATCTGCTTCTAGACTTGCATACCATTAGAAGAATTACCATATCACAAGAAATGGATAAGTTATATAGTTACCAGGTTTGGGTCAGGGGTAAACCAAGGTGGAAATTGAGGTCAGGGGTTAACCTAGGTGGAATTTGGGGTCAGGGGTTAACCTAGGTGGGATCTTGTGTGACAAATTAGATCAAAGAGAAAAATAGTTGCAAAAGAAGTATATAAGCAGGCCAGAACATCAGTGAGACAGAATTTTTCAGACAGAGATGCTTCTGGGGGTCTCCTGAAAATTCTCCTTTGTTGTCGACAATAAAGTATACTCTTCTGATATTCATAACCTCCAGACTGAGTTTGATGCATTAAGAGAAAAACCGAAAACCACTACAATATATACTCTAGTCTAGATATTGTATACAAACCCTGAGCATGCGCGGCCACATTTGTACAGTGCTCCCAGGACAAATGTCATTCAACCGCACTAGTCAAGACTAAAGCCAATGTGAAGATGCTGGACTTCAGCACTGTGTACGGGTGTAGTAATGAGCAAACAAAGACAACATTATTGCTTATAAGACAGTCTCTTTCTGCACTAACTTTAAGGAAAAGTAGCACCAACTTGCACTAAATACTAGGCTTATGCTAGTTTTGTTGAATAAAATCAGCAAACAATGTAAATTAAATTTAACAACAAGACTCTGCAGTGCTATAAACTTTATTTCTATATATTATTGTCGGCTTAATGAACGAGTTGCTCATAACGGAGATTCATTCACAAACTATTCGCTCCCTTTGTTAGAATTAAAAGCGGGAGAGGGGGTGTGTTTCAGGACTTAAGGGAGGATACATTTCCATTCCTGTGTGATCTGTGCGATGGCTAGTCCTCCACAATTATTTCAAAGGAGCGCTACCCTGTACTAAAATGGCGGCTCTATTGGCACATTCCTTCCAACAAACAACAATAGCATAGGTGGCATCTTATGTAAATATCTATGGCAAGCGGATACCTTCCTCTACAACTGTGCATGCAGTAGTAAATGAAATGAGATCAAACATCAGTCTACGCAGGTCTAAGTAAAACATTTAAAGCTAAAAGAAGTCTTTTTGTGCACCAATAAGATCTTGAGATCTCAATAAGGTCTTCTCTCTTAGATTAGTCTGCACATTGTTGCAGAATTTTTGCATAATAAATGTGTACCCTGACCTGATGTGCAAGACATTAGCGAACAAAGTTTGCTTGTTTTACAGTTTTTTGAAACATTGTATGATTACAGAGTTTTTTGGTTTGGTTTGGACTTCAGACGGAACTTCACAGGAGCATTGCTGTCTTTCTAGGGTCAGAGAGCTCTCAGACTTCTTATATAACATCTTAATTTGTTTTCCAAGGATGAACAAAAATGAAGGGGAATTAAAATGACATGATGGTGTGTAATTAATTTTAAATTTTCATTTTTGGGTGAACTAACTCTTTAAAACTAGTGCAATTTTAAGTAAATAGTTGGCATTACCTGAAACATTATATTAACAAACATTCAAATGTTTTCATGACTTATCGATTGAAAATATTACTGATTTTTTGTTCCTTCTGATCCAAAATTAGTGGATAAAGTTATTTTTTCCAGCATACTTGAAAAAGAACTTGGTCATTTGTTACCAAAACTTTCTCCAATCTTGATTTTTATTTACTTTTAAACTGATCAGGTGTGAGGCTTGAGGTCAGTGACAAAACTTGCAGGTTCCAGTGAACTTTACCATATCTGATGAAATATCAAAGCGTTGGTTACATGGACTTACCCGAGACATTTCTGTCTCTCAGTTATTTCATTAAAGATATTTTCACATTTGTTTTAAAAACAAACAAAGGCCTGATGTTTTTTGACAATATAAGAGTGAGAAAACTAATTTAATGAACAATCGATTTAAGTTTATTATGTGCATAATAATACTAAATGGTACTACTTTGAGCTGTGCAAAATCATATTGACAAAATAAATAAAGCCTATTATTTCATGTTATCGCTTATTTCGTGGTGTCACAAAATACATTGTTTACTATAACACTTTTTTGATGAGAACAATACTACACAAAAGGAAGTATCCGAATAACACAACAGAGAGAAAGTCGCATGCTTAAAGGACAATGTTCACATTTAGCATTTTATTTAGCAATATTTTATGTTGGGTCTGTACTCATTCGTTTTTTTAAATTGTTTTTACATTTCATTAATATTTTTTTTTTATATATTTCTATATTCTTCATCAACCATTTGCCCTGAATTTCTAAATAATGTGAGAAAAGTCGCATATGAATTTTAGTAAATGCTTTAAAATGTATAAAATAAATAGTCCCTTCCTTGTGGTCAAGATACATGTATTTAAAAATTATTTAAATTAAAATTTACAGAAAATGTGCTATTTCAAGATTTATACAACAGTTCTATCTGGTTCTCAAATCTTATTGGATGATAGCAGTGCGATATTCTGCAAAATCAGCACTTGTAGAGCCTCCTCCCCCTTCTTTATTACTTCACCAGTGTGTGCGAGTGACAGCAAATCAATAAACTTACTACAGTTTGACAGATATTGCAGCTGTTGGAAAACATAATGCACTTTTGATGCTTTTTAGGGCAGAATGTAGTTGTTTAGATTGCAACTATGCAGTTTATATATAAGGACAGTGACTATTTTAAATCTTTATAATTTTGGAGATTAAGCAAAATGTTCCACCATAACATATCGACAGACACTGCATATTAAGTCCTTATAAGTGACTACAGCTGATTAAATCAATAAAAAACTGCTAAGTGTCTTTCTAAGTAGTTCTCTCTTTTTCGTGTGTTGCAGTGCTGTTTTTATACCATAGTAATCTGGTAGTGTCTGCTTTTCTTGTTTTTATTTTGGGGAATAATTATTGTAATACCCCGATTGCAACCGAGAGATACTGGGAAATGTCTCTAGACTGATGGCATTTCATGTTGTTTAGCCTTGTTATTAGGGCTGGGTGATTTGGCCTAAAATCAAAATCTTGATTAGTTGAACATTTTAACTTGATAACTATTAATAAACGATTATTTAAACGTTTATTTTACAGTATATATGCATTTTTCTTTGGTACAAGCTGCACTTGTTGCTCAGTTATCCACGATCGATCACCTGTTTTGTCATCACTGTAGACATTACGCTACAGAATCATAGCTCTAAAATTTTGTTTGTGAAGTAGTAACAGTTTCTGCTGTTCTGACGGTCAGCTACAGATGTAAATCAACAGTGGAAGATGGTGATTTCTCATATAATAAGATTTTTAGACTCTTCGTGCTTGATTTTCTTTTTTATATAAAGGATTATGTCATCGAACTGTTGTATAAACACAATATCACACTCGAAGCAATGCAATATAGCTGTATATCTTCACTGGTGGGATGATAAATACACACCTTCCACCAATGTCAATATACAGTACAGCCATATCGCACTGCTACGAGTGTGATATTGCTCATATATATGATTATCAGGATATGAGATGACTTATATTGTGACATAAGATATGTGTATGTCATATCGCCCAGCCAAAGTACACAAAAAAATAAAAAAGATATAAAATGGCAAAAAACTAAACTCTTTAAATAAGAATTCTGTATTACAAAACCATTTTCCTCACCTTTGTCCCTGTGGAGCTCATCTTTACTTTCAGTGTCTGCGCAGTTGTCAAAATACTTTTGCAGTGTGTCCACCTGCCTGCAAAGAATGTCCCGGAAGGTCTCCATCTCTGCTAGCTTCTCCTGCAGGCTATACGCTTTCTGTTCAAAAGGTTTTAAATCGAAATTAAATTGTGATCAAAATATAGATGAAGTTTAACTTGATGAAATGTGGAGGTGTTTGAGCTGTGGAGGCTGGTGCTTACCTTTAAGGAGGATGCGGAGGCGGTGGAGAGGCCACTGGCAGCAGAGGTGAGGGACAGTAAAGAGCCATGGCGCCGCAGACTGCTCTCAGACCCATAGCCTGACTCAGCCTGAACGAAAAAAACAGCATAAAAAAAAGAAAAGAGAGAGAGTTAGGTAACTTCCTGAGGTAACTTTAGGTGTTGAGGTTGAAGCTGTGCAATTTGAAGATGGAAATGGACAGAACTGAGCCATACTGAAACTTGTTTAGAAATTAAGTTGCTGTATAAATGCATAAGATTGTTAATTATTAAATGATAGATGACATTTTTTATTTTTTAGTCATTTTGAGGCCCACCCCATCATGACGTAGGAATGCGGTTGTTCCCGCCCACTAAATTGATTGACCGGTGCCATGTCTCCATAACGCATATACACGTCCACAAAACATTTTTTTGCAGAGAAACTGGGATTAAAACAATGTTACAACTCTCTGTGATTAGCTGCACCTCAAAAATGTATTTTATAAGTTTAAAACGTGTTTAAAACAAAGCATGTTTGTAATAAAGACAGTAAAATTGATATGTTATTCTTAACCAATAAAATCACCATGGCTGCAAGGTTTCAGTAAACGTGTATATATATATATATATATATATATATATATATATATATATATATATATATATATATATATATGTGTGTGTGTGTGTGTGTGTGTGTGTGTGTGTGCGCATTTCAGAAGCTTGAATAAACTCCACCACAAATACATCAAATAAATTTAAGGACTAGTGACCTTTTGTCAGCTTCATCCGTGTCTGTCTCTGTCACTGACTGCTGTTTATCTGACGTAACGCATGAGAAGCAGGCACGCATGTCGGAGCGGTGGGCAGGGAGAAGCAGCTCATTTGCATTTAAAGCCACATGCTACAAAAACAGCTACACTGTGCTCGGACACCAAAATGGGCAGATTCTACATTATATAATAAATAATCTGACAGATGTTTTGAGCTGAAACTTTACAGACACATTCTGGAGACACCAAAGGCTTATTACATCTTGAAAAAAGGGGGAAAATAGGTGCCCTTTAAATGTTTTAAATCTTCACTGAAGAAAACAATTAACTATTAATATGCATCATAAAACTTCTGAATCAAATTACTCCTAACAATCAAATAAAAAAAAGAATAAACAAACAAATTTGTCTCTTTAAATGACATACAATGGCATGAATAAAGGTAACAAAACTGCTGTTGCTTGGTTTTAAACCACACTGCTGATTTGACCTCTTATATCACCTGACAATGTAAGAGAGGCTGCATTAACAAAAAAGAAAAAGACAACAAAAAATAAAAAATGAAACATCCAAAAATTTCCTCTACACCTTCTCAATTTGACAGCAGTATCAAGATACTCTAAGTGCGGTTACTTGGAGGTTGTTGTCAGGATGAGCAATCTGAGATAAACAAGAAGCTATGCAGGTATAGATGGAAATTATGCAACATGCAGTTCAGTATCATTCCAAGAAAAAGAAAGTCTTGTATCAGATTCTGAAAGTCTGATAATGCACATACAAAAAAGTACTTAATACTTTTAAAGGAAAATAATGCTAGCAAAAAAACTTAAAATGTCTAAAGTGTTACATTTTCTAGTAATTTAAATATATATATTTTTTACTGTATTTTTGAATAAATGCATTATCATGACAAACTTCGTAAAGAACTAACGGTCCTTAATCCTTTTAAATGGTAGATAAGGAGAATCAGTATTCAAATTTAGCCATGTGGTCAGAAGACACCGAATCTGACTGAATGAGTCCTGCATTCAGTCCTATGAATCAACCGTAAAAATGCTGACACTCAGCTTGTGAAAGATTTCATTTCACAAAGTGGTTAAACTAATAGCCAATGACAGATTGGGCAGAAATTTAAATGCATCTACAAATGGAGCATCCATAAAAACTGCTACACAACCATATTTCAGGAAAAGCTTAAAAAAAGTCTGTCTCAGTCCTGCATAGTCCAGTCGATAAATAATGAAAGCGATTACTGTAATTAAATTCCACACCAAAAGGATGTCAGTGGTCATGAAATCATGATGAATGATTGAGTGAGTGTGAGGTATGGGATAAGAAACAAGTAAATGACTAGAGTTAAAAATGCTAATGTAATAAAGCCCACCATTCGCCCATTCCAGCAGCCAAAGCAGGACAAGCCGCTGCTGCAGTCCTGATTAGTTGGCCCCACCATGACCACAGATTTCCAGATGATCCTAGATGTACCAGTACTTTCCCAAGACAGTCCAAGAATTCCTAGTGGGTGCTTAAGGTGGGTGCTTCAAGAATTCTGTTCTCACTCTTTACAATTCAAGAATACAAAGTGCTGTTGCAGGATACAGCAAGAATTCTCAGGTTTCGCTGTTGGTGCTTCAAAATTTCCCTGTTCTTTATGTAGGCACTTAAAGAATTGACAGTCCTCACATTAGACACTTCAAGGACTCCCAGTTCTCTTTGGAAGGTCAAAAAATCCCAGTTCCGTGTCTGGACACTCTAAGAATTCCTAGTTTTCTCTCTGAGAAGGCTTCAAGAGGTCCATACCTTCTTTGTAGAAACTCAAAGAATTTGTAGTACTCTATGTAGGTACTCCAAGAATTGCCAATTCTATTTCGGGACACTCAAAGAATTTCTTAGGCTCTCTGGGTGGTTTAAAATGTAAAGTTTCCCTCTCTTGAAACTGATAGGATTTGAAGCTCTCTTTCTGGGCACTCTAAGAATTCATAGTACTGTCTCAGGGCACTCAAAGAATTTCTTGGGCACTCCAAGTTTTCTCTTTGGGTGCTTAGAGATTTTAAAATTCTCTCTCTGGACACTGCAATAATTCTCAGTTCTCTTTTTGGGCAATTGAAGAATTCAGTTTTTCCTTTCTTGGTGCTTCAAAAATTGTCAGTACAGTCTCTAGACATTAAAGCATTTCCTAGTTTTCTTTGGAAGCTTAAAAAAATCCAAGTTCTGTCTCTGCACACTAAGAATTCCCAGTTTTCTCTCTGACTTTTCCAACAAATCCCAGTTTTTTTCTGGACACGGCAAGGATTTTCTTTTCTCTTTCCGTACACTCCAATGATTCCCAGTTCTGTCTCTGGACACTCCAAGAATTTCTGTTTTTAGCTTACAAATTCCCTGTTCTGTCGTTGGACACTCTAAAATTCCCAGGTATCTCTCAAAATGCTCCAATAATTCCTCGTTTTCTGGCTGGACACTTTAAGGATTCTCTATTCTCTTTCCGTGTACTCCAAATTATCCCAGTTCCGTCTCTGGACACTCAAAGAATTCCCAGTTTTTCTCTTTGGTTGCTCCAAGAATTCCCAGTACTGTTTTTGGATGCTCCAAGGACACCTAGTTTTCCTTAGAACTGTAAATTCTTGAAGCTTTTATGTCTGAACCAAAGTAATTCCCAGTTCTCTTGCTTGAAAACCCCAGACAGCTTGGGTCACTCTCTGGACAAAAAATTCTTAGTTCTCCTGCTGGACACTCCCAGAATCCCCAGTCCTCTGACTGCAGACTACTCACAAGCACATGGTCAGGCAGGAATAAAGGAAAAGAGAAGTTTCATACCTTTGGCAGCTTTAATGGAGAGATAAAGACATTAGAATTTGTAATGATGTGAAGAAGTAACAAGAAATGGGTTTCTGAAGCGGTGTAAAGGCAGCGAGACTGAGGGTGTGGGTCTGCAAAGCATGTGTAGCAGAGTAAGAGACAGAGCGAGTGAGAGAGCGAGAGAGAGTTAGAGAGAGAGAGAGATAGAAACCATGCAGACACTGAAATTCCCAGAGCTGCTGTACACGCTGCACTTACCTAACTGTAATAAAATCTGCATTAATCATCCAGAAACCTCGACTGCCACTTTGTCGGTGTGTAATTTTGTAGCGCTCAAGTGAATGTGCGAGAGCATCAGTCCTCAGAGGCTGCTGGGCGTGTGCGCTCGTCTCTTTCTCTTGTGCTGTTCTCAGATCAGCGCTCTTCTTAAAGTGGACCAGTGCATTTAAAGTCTTCCCTAAGATTTTCATCCTAAGTTCCAGATCCAAACAAGCCCCTTTATATAGGTTCAGAGTTTTTTGTGCTGTGCGGGGCTTTAAAGCAGCCTCTTCAGATGACTGAATACACTCATGCATTATTCAGGCAGCTGGACGCCTGAGAGCGGAAAATGGCCATCACCCACACATGTACACATACCAGCTCACCTCTGTGAACAGGGAGTCGCGATAAACAATGCTGACCTGAACGACAACAGCCTCTCTACTGCGCTCTTCTGCTTGCTGAATCAAATAACATGTTTAGATTTGAAGCCGCAGCGAACAGGAAGAAGAGAAAGGTCAAAACAACAGATTTATCAGTTTCATTGTGGTTAAGATAAGAGATTGTGAGGTGATAGATGAACATGAGTCTAGATATACTGTATTTTTTGCAGTGCTTTTTTGTGGTACTAGATAAACAAATAATATATGCATAAATATTACAGTAATGCTATTTTACAGTGCTTTTAAAAAAAATTCACATGATTTCAACCCAGCTTTACGAAAAAAATATGTTAATGCTCACAATATGTTAAAATCGTCCTGCCATTTAGATAAATGGAGCAAATTAAAGATTGGTGATATTGTTTACATTTTGCAATAATACAGGCAATCAAGAATTATGTTATGTACACTGTAGAGTAGCACAATTAGGGTTGTAACGGTATGAATTTTTCACGGTATGATAATCGTCTAAAACAATACCACGGTTTGACGGTTTCGCGGTATACGGTATGTTACAAATGTTACAAAATAATAGAACAGTGAAGCAAATTTGACTTTTTCCAAATAATATATTTTTAGTTACTATAAACAACACCACTTACAATGAACAAATAAAAATAAGAAAATAATAAATAATGTGTCAAAGTCCAAATAAAGTCCTAATAAACATGGTGCAAATCCTCAGTAAAAAATAGATATAAATATTTACTACACTATAAATAGTTACATAAAGAAACTAGATTCAATATGGAACATCCTTAGGTTCTATGTGCCAGCATGGATTTGGATGTGGTTGTATGCAATGCAGACAAACAGCTGCATCTTCATTTGCGTCTTT